TCGATTTGAACTGCAAGTTCGGTGGTTCAGACTTACCAGCTGCTCCTCAGAAACCCCATACAGAATTGCTATGAGTGGGAATCAACTCAACGGCACTTAACAACAACAATAAACTTTGTCAATTGGAGTCCTGATGTGGCGCTCTAGATCAGCACAGAACTGCTAACCACAAGGTTGATAGTTGAAATCTACCAGCTGCTCCTTGGAAATCCTATAAGGGTTGCTGTGAATTGGAACTAATTTGACGGCACTTTAACAATAACAACTTTGTCAATTAAAAGCCCTGGTAGTATAGTGGGTTACACATTGGGCTGCTAACTGTAAAGTCAGCAGTTCAAATCCACCAGTTGCTCTGTGGGAGAAAGATGAGGCTTTCTGTTTCCATATGGCACTGTGGGATAATGTACTGGACCAGAAGGTCGGTTTGAACTACAAGGTCAATGGTTCAAACTCACCAGCTGCTCCTCGGAAACCCCATGCAGGGTCGCTAAGAGTCGGAACCAACTTGATGGCCCTTACCAACAACCAAGATTTACAGCCTTAGGAACCTATACAGTGTCACTGAGTTGGAACAGACTTGGCAGCCCTCAGCCATCACCACCACTTTGCCAACTGGTGTGCTAAGGAGACTTCAATGAACTAAAGCTTTCATGGTGCTAACGTTTGTACAAGTGGAAACAGACCTCAGACAAGAGAAATATACAGTGTGCTGACTGTTGTCAGATGCTAAGAAGGAAAACAGGAAGCAGGAAAGGGGATTGGAAGTGGGGAGGGAGGTTACATTTCCAATAGCAGGACCTTTGGGCCTTTGCCTGAAGGAGATGAGGGAGAGCGCCTGTAGCTCCTCCAGGAACAGTATTTCAGGCACAGGGAACAACGGCCAGGGCAGGCACCCTGAGGCGGGGTGGCCTGGGGTGTCTGAGAAGCAGTGGGATGAGTGAGGGTCAAAAGGAAGAATTCATGGGGTCAGGTTGGTGGGTGGTCCTGGGTGCTCCAGAGCCAAGTTGGGAGGATGGTGGGTGGATGAGCTGCAGACTGTCCTGGAAGGAAAGAGAATTGGGAAGAAGAGAGAGGAGAGCTATTCAATCTCCAGGGAAACTTCCTGTGTCTGTCTCATCCTCGTGCCATAGCCATGTTGTTAACCTGGTGGCACTGTGGTTAAGCATCTGGCTGGTCATCTAAAGGCAGTTCAAACCTGCCAATGGCTGCACAGGAGCAAAGCCTTGGGGATCTGCTCTCATAAAGATTGCTGTCTTAGAAACGGATGGGCCAGCTCTACTCTGTCCTATAGTGTCACTGAGTTGAGATTGGCTTGGTGGCAATGGGTGTATGAGGTGGTCTCTCTGAGTCTCAGTTTTCTCATCTATCAAAGGGAGCCATGGAGTAAGTTCTGATGGGGTTTCCAAGGAGCGCTTGGTGAGTTTGAACCATTGATCTTGGGGTTCAAGCTGACTTTGCATTCCAGTACATTGGAAGAAGCCACCTTTGGGGCATGGTGGCAGTGAGGGTGGTTGAGGCCGGAAGAGGGGCTCTTAGTAAGCTCAGCAGAAAAAGCCCCTCCTTTTCCTACAAGGAGCACAGGGCCTCCCTGCTCACATTAGCCCGGTTTATCCTCACACCATCCCTAGGATGCTGGGTGGGCAGCTAGCATCATCCTCATTTTATGGGAAAGAAATTCAAGGCACAAGCAAGTCACCCAAAGCCACTCAGTTACTTGATTACAGTGCCTGGTCCAGGAAACACCCTCCCAGGGTCCTGTGGGGTGCCACAGTGTAAGGGTGTATTGGGGGCAGATAGGGCAGTCTCAGTGCCCAGGGTCCTGTAGGGTGTGACAGGGCTAAGGGTATGATGGGGTCAGACACGGTAGTGATGCCACCAGAGTCATAGGTGCCCCCCCTCCCCGAAGATTCCATGCTTATTCACCTCCACACCATTGTTCTCGCTGCCACCCATTGGTGTGTGTGGGGCGGGGACAGAACCATGGCAGATAGGCACAGTCCCGTTACTAAGTCTCTGGGTCTGCTTCCTGTCATATGTGGGTGCTGGATCCCACCTTCCCTGCCCACAGACCAGTGTGGTGGGAGGGGCTGGGACCAAGGTCTGAATCTCAACAGGGAAAGTGGGTTGCTGCACGCAGACAGGTCTGTCTTTCTACTGGAGAAGCCCGATATGTGAAATGTCAAGATTGCTGAACATTGCAATAAAATCAAATTATTTTGAACCCAGTAGTTTCATCTTCAGGTGTTCTTGATACAGTGTACCTGACGTGCTCATCACAACAGGTTTGCGCTCTTGTAGTGCCGGTGGTTCAAATAGGATGCCAACCCCCCAGTTAAAACCTTCAGGAGCCTCGCCAGCCTTAGAGGCTCTTGGAGTGTCTTTCACATAGTAGACCATAAGTGGTGCCCCCTGGAGGTCAGGTCCCCATCCTGGAGCTTCCTTCATTTGGGTTTGTTGGTTGGGTTTATGCATGTTATCTGGAGTGTGGATTGTTTACCTAATACCCGTGGCTTGGGCACCTCTAACCTTTGGGTCTTTCCCAACTCCAAGAGATGGTGAAGCCTCCTTCAATGCCCTTCTCCCTGCTCTGGGCCCTCCTGGACGTGGGTAGATGTCTCTCTTCTAGCAGTCTAAGTCCATGACTTCCAGGGGAAGCCCCACGTGTCTTCTCCAGATGTGTGAACCATGTCTTATCAATCACACAATGGCAACTCTGATATTGGTTCATGGGGGGTGGTGGTGCCTGAGTCCACCTCATAGCAACTATGGATAGGGTTTTCAAGGGGAGGGGGGCTGGTGGGTTTGAACTGTTGACCTTGTGGTTAGCAATCCATGCCTTATCCTACAGTGCCATGCCAGGACACCAGACACAGGACTGACCCAATCACCATGACTCAATCTCCCTGGTCTGCTGGAAGTACGACAGCATACACAGATTGTAGATGAGGTTTAATACTTGTAAACATTACAGTACAAATCTAAGTTATAAACGCCCCATGTCACTGGGGGTGGGTGAAGGAACTGGGTTGGACGTGAGCACCCATTGAAGGCACTCCTGGGAGGGAAGTTCCCATCAGTCTCATTGGAGCCTGGGGCAGTCCTAATACATGGGTCTCTTATGTTGTCTTATGCGTGTGGAAGCAGAGCCAAAATCTACACAGCGCAGCAGAGCCGATTCAAGGCCCACCCTGCCCATCCCTCCTACTCCATCCTGTCTGGCCAGACGAGGCCCACCCACAATGCCTTAGGTCGCATTCCAGGACCAACAGCAGAGGCCAGCCCCTGCCCTCTGTCAGACATGGAGGCAGCCAGGTGGGGTGAGTGACCCCACCCCAGGCACAGAAGAGCAGGCCCCAGCCACAAGCCCTGAGCTGTGAGTGCCCATGTCCACGGGTGGTCTGCACCGGCCATCACCAGATGGGGGTACTGAGGGTGATAATGGAGAGCCTGGCTAAGCCATCCTCCTCCCTCCCTGCACCTGGGCCTTGGGGTCCTTCCACACCACACCCTGTGCTGCCGGTCCTGTCACCCTGGAGGAGCTCACACCCTGCTCCTGTACAGCCTTAGTGTCCAGGGTGCAACCTGGGGCTCCTGTGGCTCCCCAAAAGATCACAAAGAGCCCACAAGTGGCAGGGGTCAGACAGTACTCCAGAGCAGAGGCCCCAAGCCCATCTGTGCAGGTGACCTGGCTCCTGTCACCCAGATGTAGGAAGGTGCAGCCCAGGTGTGTGGACTCCTTGGCTTAGGGCAAAGTGAGGCAGAAGCTCCTTGGGGTCCCTCACAAGCTGGAACAGGGAGGGATCCAGCTTCCATCTGCTCAGAAGCCACCCCTGGAGATTCTAAAGGAGCATGCAGCCCTGGACAGCCTGCTCCAATGGGACCAACTTCTATACCAGCCGAGATGCACCGTCTTTAGAAAGGAAAGGTGGACCGCTCCTTGTCGGGCTCCTTCTGGAAGGCTGGGGAAGTTGCCCAGTTTGGCGTCAGAGAGGACTCTAGGGCTCACCTGCTTCTGCCCCTTCAGTTCAGCTGAGGAGCCCATTGAGGCCCCAGGAGAAGGGACAGGCCCAAAGCCTCAGCCAGTGGAGGGCAGAGTGGGCACTGCTGCCCCACTCTGCCCTGGTTCCCTACTCCCAGACCAGCAGGCAGGCTCCGGGTTCTCCCAATGGCTCCTTGTGGAGCACAGGGAAAAGTGCTGGAGAATGAGGAAAGACCCCTAGCTCTGAACTATTACTGCCACCTCAGAAGGCTGCCCCTGCGCACAGAGTCCTGGCTGGGGTGGACAAAGGACAAGTTCTCACACCTTCCCAGCTTGGTGAGTGCTGGACAAGGGGCAGACACTGGGTGGTCCTCAGGCAGGGACAGGGGCAGGCCCAGACCAGAGGGATCCTGGCAGCCACCCTTGGGCCATGGAGTCACTGGCTGGGAGAGAGAAGGTGGCAGGGCAGTCCAGGTGGTGGTGGCTTGGGTGAGGCCTGGTTGGCAGGCTCATTCCCTGATGTTTGGGGTTCTGCCTGTCAGCCGACGGCGCTGGCTCTTGCTGGTACGCGTGGCACTCGGGGGCTTCTTGGCCGAGTCCTGGGCCCGTCGGGGGTGTTTCCTCTTGACCTTCTTGCGGCTGTGTGCGTGCAGTGACGCTGTGAGGGAGGAGATCCTGCAGGAGGTGGAAGGCCTGGGTTCACCGTGGGGAGCAGGGCTGACTGACGGCCCAGTTCCGGAAGGGGATGTCCTGGCAGGGCTCAGCTGCTTCAGCCCTTAATTCACTCCAGAGTCAACCTCTGGGGACCCCTGTGGGCCTGCCAGCTCATTAACAGCAAGGCCCTTCCCCTGATGCCAAGGGGACACAGGATAAAGGACAGGGGGACAGGCTGGTGACCTCAGATGGCTACTCTGGGGCGCACACCGGTCCCATGCCACCCTCCCTGCCATGGCGCTGCAGGCCTGGTCACCAATGCCAGCAGCCACGAGGAGCACCCCCCACAGGAGAGGACAGGCAGGGCTCACCGCTGGGACAGCAGGGGGTCTTTGGATTTCCTGGGTAAGGCTTTGGTGGGCTTCTCCACGCCGGACCCCTCCTCTTCGGCTTGGGCCCCTTGCTAAGGGAGCACAGGAGGAAGGACTGTTACAGAGCGGGTTCCTTGAGCCAATACGCCTGTCACTGGGGTGTCATCTGTCCCCTCATAGACTGGGACAGGGCTCAGAAAAGGTCTCCCTTTCAAAACCCCACACTGCTGCGGCTGGCAGACGGCACGCCCACGCTCTGGAGCACAGGGTTAAAGGAAGGAGACTCTTCCTCGCATCAGCCCTCACAGAAGAGCGTGTCGCTGAGCGTGAGACCGGTTAGGACGGGATCACAGCAGTGGCTTCAGGACTGTGTAAACTGACCCACTGGAAGAAATGTCTCTGACCTTGTCACTGCGGCCACTGTCCTGCGCTGTCGAGTGAATTATGACATAGTGACCCGATCTGAGACGAGAGCTGCTCCCCACCCCGTAAGGGTTCCTCAGCTGTCGTCCTTAGGGAGGTGATGACCAAGCCTTTTTCCAGTGGAGTGACCGTTTGGTGAGCCCGCACTCTAGGCTGGCACTGTGCCAAGTCTCCATGTGGCTGAGCTTCCTTCCTCCTCACAGCAGCCCCCCAGACAGGTGCTAAGAGCAACCCCAATGTGCTGAGCAAGAACGGACGCAGGCAAGATAAAGAAGCTTGTCTAGACCCCACAGTTCCTCAATGGTGGAGCCCACCTCGACACCCCCTGGAAGAGATGAGACCCTTAGCCAGGCCCAGCACCCCACAGCCCCAGCCCAGTGCTTCCTGTGTGTTCCTGGGACCCACCTCAGGTGGGGGCAGCCCAAGCAGCCGAGCCCCTGAGAGGTCCAGGTTGCTGATGGTGGTCACCGTGACCGTGTGGTTGGGGTGGTCGTACAGCACTGACTCTGTCTTTGCCGTCACCAGTCGGTCCAGTTCGTCGGCCTCCTCTGTGTGGGGTGGACATAGACCCGGCCATCAGTCCCAGGGCACAGACAACTAGGCTCCAGCTATCTGCTCCCCTGCCCCAGACTGGGAGAGTCCACCACTCTCGGGGAGGACAATGATGAGGAAACGGGTCCCAGGGTGCCTGCTGGCCTGCAGCTGGAACCGTCCTGCTGAGGGGACCTCAGCCCAGTGTGACACTGGAACCCGCTGTTCCCGGGCCTCAGAAACGGGGCCTTCTGCTTAGGACCACTTTATCTGGGGGTTGGGGCTCTGATCCTCTCCTACTTAAGAGGTGCCTGAGAATCTCCCCACCCTCCCACCCCTCATCTGGGCAGCCCCCTCACCAAAAGAGATGAAGAGAACTGTGAGCGGGGGCCTTCTCCACGCCAGGCCACGGAAGGGACTTACCCAGAGCTTCCTCTCTCTCGGCTAGCATCTTCAAGTACTCCTGGTGGCGCTGAAATCAAGAGGGAAGAGGGCACAGTGAGTACAGCCTCTCAGCCCAACCCCTGCGAGGAAGTCCAGCACAGAGGACAGCGCCAGGAGGAGCCCCACTCCTAAGCCGGGGGTGGGGTCTCCACCTGTGTGAACTGCTCCCCTCCCCCCTGCACCTCCTCCCGGAGCTTCCTCTGCTCTTCCTTCAGCCGCTGCTTCAGTTCCTGAATAGCTGCCTTCTTCCGCTCCACCTTCCGCTTGTGGAAGCCTGTCAGGTACTCTCTGAGGGAAGACGCAAGGGGCAAACAGTCAACAGGGCTGTGAGGACAGAAGGGCTCACTCTAAGAAGGCACCATGCAAAGATTTACAGGTAGTAACTGGTGTGGCGCTATAGGATCAGCACTGGACTCTGAATCACAAGGTTGGAAGTTCAAACCCACCAGCTGCTCCTAGCAAACCTTGTATAGAGTTGCTACGAGTCAGAACTGACTAGATGACACTTAACAACAACTTCTAATAGGATGGACTCCTGGTGTGGGGCTGTAGGATGACCACTGGACGGCTAACTGCTATGCCTTGGAAACCCTACACAAGGTTGCTGTGAGTTAGAACTAACTCAATGGCACTGAACAACATCTGACACGGGGAGCTCTATGTGGATGGTAACTGTAGGATAAACACTGGGCTAACAAACCTTGGCGGTTCGCTAACCCACAAGCTGCTCCCTGTGAATAAATAATGGTCCTGTAAAGACTTCGTCTTGGAAACCCTGAGGTGCAGATCCTCTAGGAGGTCTGCTATGCCTCAGAACTGACTTCATGGTAGTGCATTTGGGTCTTTGGGGGTTTTTTGTTTTTAAATCTGAGATCTTAAAGAGCCCTGGGGCACAGAATGGTGGTTTGAACCCACAAACTGTTCTGTAGGAGAAAGATGTGGCATCTACCTCCATGACAAAATTTACAGCCTTGGAAACCCCATGGGGTAGTTCTACTCCTATATAGAGTCACTAGGGTCCAAATTGATTCCAGGGTATTGAGTTTGTTTTAAATCTCATAGCTAAAGTCCCTGGGTGTTGAAACAGTTCTTGCGCATGGCTGTTCTCTGAAAAGCCTTAAAAGAAATGTCCAGTGATCTGCTTCTAAAAAAATCAGCACTGACAGGTCTAGGGATCACAGTTCTACTCCAGCACACACTGGGTCACCATAGGTTGGATGGAAATGGATGGAAATTGTGTTTATCTGATATCAGACCCCCAGATCTCCAGTTCCCATCAGTTCCTGCCCTCAGTACTGGGCTTTTCACTGATCTACGATCATGTGCCTGGGTGGCACCGAGTCCCTTCATTTAATGGACCGGATTGCTGCCGCGGAACTGAAGGATAAGCACTGGACTGCTAAGGCAAGGTCGGCAGTTCAAACGCATACACTGGATATCTATGAGTTGGAACCGACCAAGGGCACTTCACAAAGACAACAATTTAACGACGTTGCTTTAGCTCAGAAGTCTTGTTCCTTGGCCCGAGGCCTGGTACATTGCAGAAGCACAATAAACGTCTGTTTAGTGAATGAATGAACTTAAGCCACTCTCGTTTGACGCGCTGAGCACTCGTTCATCCACCAACATCGGCTAAAAAGCCTACTGCATGCCGGGACATTGGGCTGGGCTGGGCTGTACTATGAGGATCAAACCAACCCGAATCCCAGCTCTGCGTGAACTCAGAAGGGTCTCTCTAGTCGCGCGTGGGGGGCGGGGGGAGAAGTGGCGCTTCCATTCCGCTACCAGATGGAAAACAAAAGGAGTTCCGCGCGTGCCCAGGGGGCAGTTCGGGAAACTCCGCGTGGAAGTGTGCGACTGAACCTGCCCTTGCCGAGTGGCTGGACAGGAATTCAGTCCGGCCTTTCCACTCACCGCCTCTTATCCTCATTGAAGCTGAGAACGAGTCGAGGCCGCCGATCGTCGCCATCTCGCTGCTTCTTCTTCTTGCGGCCCATAGCGGTGAGACCGTCAGTGGCGCGGCTCCAGTTTGCCCAAACTACTTCCGGTGCAGTGCTTTAGGCGTCCCAGCGCGCCTCGTAGCGTTGACCCACAGTTCCGCCTCCAAGTCCCGCCTTTTAAAAGGGCCGCCGAGCCTGACCCATTTCTGAGTGTAATGTTCTAGTCTCTATCCACTTAGACAAGCCCTACCCTAACTCCTCTTGACACTAGTTTCTGTGACAACTAAGCCCTGAGGCCCCAGTACCAGTTCTTGACATAAAGCAGTGGCTCGAGTTATTAGTGAATGGCCAAAGAAAGCTGAGTTTCCTTTTGGTTCTGTTATATGTCACTCTCCGGTGGTTTCCAAGAGTGTGTCTGTGGAGGCAAACTGCCCCTGGATTTGAATCCTGATACTGCATTTACAGACTCCTGGCAAATCTATTGTACAAGCCATCTTAAAATGTTCAAGAGCAAATATATCAGCTTAAGAACTAAGAAGCACCTCACCCAATCCATGGCATTTCCGGTCACCTCATAGGCATGTGAAGGTTGAACAATGAACGTAGAAGACTTTGATGCATTTGAGTTATGGTGTTGGAAAGGAATTTTAAAGGATCGTAGACTGCCAAAAGAATGAACAAATCTGTCCTCGAAGAATTCAGAATGCTCCTCAGAAGCCAGGATGGCAAGACTTCATCTTTCACACTTCAGACATGTTATCAGGAGGGACTAGTCCCTGGAGAAGGACTTCTTGCTTGGTAAAGTGGAGGGTCAGCAAAAAAGAGGAAGACCCCAATAATATGGATTGATACAGTGACAGCAGCAATGAGCTCAAGTGTAACAACAGTTGTGAAGACAGCACAGGACTGGGCAGTGTTTCATTCTGTTGGGCATAAGGTCCCTGTGAGTCAGCACTAACTTAGCAACACTACATCGGTAGCTATGGACGCTGAACAGGTGTGGGGTGGCACATGGAAGTCCAACCATGTGTAGTGCGTGTTTATATGTACTTGTGTGTGCTGCAAATATGTCCATGTTTTTAATAGAACACACAAGGGACACAGAAAAATGTACCCATAATCAAACATGTCACGGTACTGAATTACAGGGTTTAAAAGCTAGGGACCATAGTTTTCACGGACATCTAGGTCAGTTGGCATAACAAAATCCATAAAGACAAGGTTCCACATCCTACTTTGGTGAGTAGAGACTGGGATCTTAAAAACTTGTGAGTAGCCATCTAATATTGTGGATCTTTTCTTGTCTGGAGCAAAGAAGAGTGAAGAAGATCAAAAGCTTGAGGAAACAATTCACCCAAAAGGACTTGTGAATCACATGAATCACAATTTCCACAACCCTGAGATCAGAAGAATGAGGTTGTGCCTGACTATCACTCCTGACTGCTCTGATGGCGATCACAATAGAAAGTTCCAGACAGAGTGAAAGGAAAATGTAGAACAAAATTCTTACCATAAAACACGTCCACTGGGCTTCCAGCAAGATGGCGGACTAGGAAGACACACTGCATGGACCCTCCACAACAAAGATGTTAAGTGCCTTCGAGTCGGAGCCGACCCATAGCGACCCTGTACAGGGTTTCCGAGGGTGTAAATCCTTACGGGAGTAGAAAGCCTCATCTTTCTCCCGCGGAGCGGCTGGTAGTTTCGAACCACTGACCTTAAGGTTCGCAGCCCGATTCATAACCACTATGCTACCAGAGATACGAGAGATCAAATTAAAAGGACACATGAAAATTAAGGCACCCTGAACTTCAGAAGAAAGGTTAGAGAGGTGGATGGAGTGCTTGCTGGGAAGAGAAGCTGAGCAGGGACAATGAGAGAGGGAAACTGACTGGTGAAGGGCTGACCAGATAGATACAGCTCAACCTTCCTATGAGCACCTTTGGCAACAGAACGAGTCCTGGCAGAGCAGATTCACACAGGAGACAGGAAAGGTGCCATTCCTTCTCTACCTTTCCCCCACGTTTCCCTGGTAACCAGAGGTGTGGCCAGCTCCCACCCTTATCCACCCCCAACACAAACCTTGTTCTCCAGGAGTTGGAAGCCATGTGGTTGGCAGCCAAATGTGCTGCTTTTATGTACCATTTTGACGCCTGGATTCAGGTGGGTTTAGCTCCAAACCTACAAACCCCACAGAGTCAGCAGACCAGCATTTAACCAGTCACCCTGGCTCCAGCTTCCCTATGGCTGTAACAGATACTGAAACCAGCTCCATCAAAGGCCCCCACAAACAACTTCTAGGCTGAGTGCTTTGAACATAGGTAACAGCGAAGCCATCAGGAACTCTGTCTCGGGCCAAGTCGCTACTAATACATCCCTTCCACAACCACCTTGTGAGCTCCTTGAATTGTAGGAGCCCCCTAGGGATTTCCTATATCCAGGTCCAACAATTGCACTGTTTTGTTTTTACAAATAGGATAACCCCACAGTGCCTCAGAGATCATTTTAACTCACATGAAGAAACAAGAAAGAATGGCTCAAACAAATGACCAAGATGCGGAGAAAGAAAAGATTCCTGGGTAAAAGTTGATAATGGAACTAACGAAATAGAATTCAAGGGAATGATATTTAAGTACCTTCAATGGAATGATAGAAAGATCAAGGAGAACATGGGAAAACTTTAGAAGAATTCAGGAAAACTCTAGAAAAACAAACAAAATAAATGCAAATTTTGAAACAATGTAAAACCTGCAATTAGAACTCCAGAAGATTAATACTAAGATTTCAGAAATGGACAATACATTGAAAGGGCAAAGGCGTAGATGAAAAACCATGGAAGCCTGAATTAGTGAACCTGAAGAGAATTCTCTCAATACTAGCATGCTAGAAGAACAATCAGGGGAAAAAATGGTAAAAGGCTAAAGAAAGCCTAAGAGGTATATGGGTCACCATGAGGATGATTAACTTACAGGTGATTGGAATCCCAGAACAGAAAGAAACAATAAAAACATAGAGAAAACTGCGGAAGAGTGATTGGAAGAAACCGTCCCTAACATCATAAAAGATGAGAAGATAAGCATACAAGAAGCCAAAGGAACCCCCAAACAAGATAGATACCAAAAGGTAATCACCTAGGCATAACATAATGAAACTTTCCAAAATCAAAGACAAGGAAGGAATAGGAAAAATGAAAAATCACCTACAAAGGAGAACCCATAAGACTAAGCTTTGATTTCTCAGCAGAAACCATGCAGGCAAGAAGGCAATGGGATGACGCATACAGAACTCTGAAGAAAAAACTTGCCAACCAACCTAGCAAAGCTCTCTCTCAAATATGACAGTGAAATTAGGACATTTCCTGATAAGCAGAAGTTAAAGGAATTTGTAATGATCAGACCAACTTTACAAAAAATTCTAAAGGGCATTCTTTGTACTGAGAACCAACAATAGCAGACAGCAGCCTGAGATTATCATACATGACAATACCACACAGAACTCAACCCAAATATAGAAGTATTTAAAGTAAAACAAACCTACAAAACTGAAAATTTCAGAGATATCAATATATAATAAGGAGCTCTGGTAGCGTAGTGGTTACGAATCGGGCTGCGAACCTTAAGGCCAACAGTTCGAAACTACCAGCCGCTCCGCAGGAGAAAGATGAGGCGTTCTGCTCCTGTAAAGATTTACAGCCTCGGAAACCCTGTACAGGGTTGCTATGGGTCGGAACCGACTCGACGGCACTTA